TGACGGACCGCTTCCTTGGGCCATGCCTACTAGCGGCTCTGGCAGCTTTTGATGTTTTCGGCTGTCAACTTTCTTTTCTCTTATTACGACTATCTTGACGGCGTATGGCGATGGAGCACGACGATAGGTCCACGAGGGTCTCGCGTACACACGGGTTGGGCTATCATGGAACTGTTCTTTTTGCGGTGGGAAGGGAGTTTTTCCCTTTTCTGTTTATTTCGGGAGGATATGGGAACAAAGGTCTTGAAGTTCTTTTCCGTTCTGTTTTCCCATTTTCTCAGGTTGGTTCGTTTTTCATAGACAGGATTTAGACACACAGGGACTCGACTCGGTTCGGAGCAAGGAAGGCACTCTTGTTAGGTTCGTATACATAAACATATTTCTTTGGGGGCGCTTCACACCCTCCCTCTCTATTAGCCAAACACGGGTTCTAATCGGGCTCAATTTCATATTACTTGACCCTACGGATACGTCACATATTTGACGCTTCTATCTCCTAGGAGCCCCTCTTGGCTAGTCGAGGTTCCCATTCTTGAGAGACAGGTGGTATAAAACAAGAGTACACATAGGCCGCTTTGCAAACTAGGCACAGAAGGAAGAGGGGGTTTCAGTTCACGGACGGGCAGAATGACGGTATGGGCACTCTGGGGGAGCTACGGACATTGGCCCACCCAGAGCCACGGGCTGGCCGTTGAGCAAGGCATGAATGGTGTATATCGACCGTTTCTCCTTGGCTATATCTCGTGGGGATGGGAAGGAATGTGACAGGGAATGCAAAGGGCCAGTCCAACTGGTCAGAATCGAAACCTTCCAAAACTATGAGAGCCTCTGGAAAGTTCACGCGTTAGGCCGTTGGAAAGCGGCGTTCTATGGACTCTTTCCAAAATCACCAACTGCCGGCATTGCATGTAACGAGGAAGACTATAAGGGACAGGGAGATGATGGAAGGAACAAAAGAAAACGAGCCCCCTTTTTCCGTTCGGAACTGAGTCGCGCTCAACAAAGTCCCTCCGTGGAACGAAGAAACTTGGGTTTCTTTCTTTTTTTCTCCTTCTCGATGTGATGTTCACGTTGTTCCCCATTTATGCCCTATGGATGGACTTGCTTATCTTGTCCGCATGCTTCACTTATATAGCATTTGAGCGGAGCAGGTCAGGAATACATCCACCATGGATCCATTGGATTTAGACGTAGAAACAACTCGGAAAGTGTGAGAACAAAGGAAATGCCGTTGGTTACAGATGTAGTCTCTGGAAAGATAGAATCAATTGATAGAAATGGAGTGGTGGTTTACTACATCCATGTCGGTTCCGGGCAGAGCCGAGATTCCAAAAGAGTTGAACTTATTTGATTGATGGTGGGCAATACAAAGCGAGACAGAACCAGGGTCCAGACCACCCACACCAGAGAACTAGAGCCCGCCAGCCCACCCACCACCCTCACTCTAGTGAACCACCCACCCCCTTCACCCCCTTACCCCCTCACCCCCTCGTCTCTCACACCTCAAGCTCAATGCAGCCTTGTTCCCTTTATTCCTTATTCCTCTTCCTTCTCACTTTCTCACAAGTACCATCCCTACCTTTACTCGGACACTAAGCACCGAAACCGAGACAGTCCCGGGAGGAGAGAAACCATCGGCAGAACAAGTGGAGTGTGCTATTAACGCTAAGATGGAGAGAAGGAGTGGTGTGTGAGTGAAGGCAATAGCCGTGATCCTTCATCTTCCCGAATGCCAATAGCACCGCTGATAAATCAAGAAGGAAAGATGGAGGCAATAGAGAAGCACAGGGAAGCGCAAAACGCGGAGCGTGTTCGCAAGGGTATCAAATCGAGTGAATAGACGGGCTTGGCATTGGCAACCAAAGCATCTAATCCATATTACAATCGAAGCGGGCACGGGAGAAGACTGAAAAGTTGTGAATCTACTCGCAGGTGCGAATTTCGAAAGTGCAAAACAAGTACGCGAAAGGGGGTGGGTGAAATGGCTACTTGCTCTCTTTCGCTCGCCGCCTCTCAAAGTATGAACGCGAGAGAAAGACGTGTGTATGCCTCCTTGAGTATGTTGTCTTCAATGTTCTTTACTTTTTCTTTCCGACCCCTCTGCCTTGCGAATCTGGATTTCCCCATCTTTAGCTTTCAGAAGGACTTCGCCGGGCTTGAGCGGTGGAAGGTATCGGCTCGACAGAACCCTCCACCTCTCGATGGGGGTATGGGGGACGGAGGCATAGACGAGGAGGGAAATAGGAGCGACTTGGTGATTTCAAGGAATAGAAGCTGAGCTTTCTTTCCTGTCCTCTGTTTTCTTTTAATCTTTTGTGCCCTTTTAGGGGTTTCCTTCTCTGTTTTTTTCTCCTTCTACCCCTTTCCTCCTCTTGAAATTCTTTTTGAATGGCAGGATGTTAGCACTACTCTCTTGATGCCCATCCCCTTCGAGGGAGAAGAGAGAACGGAGAGAGAACCATAGTCTTGGACACGGACAGGTGCCGCGACATGGTCGCCAAGGACATTATCAATGCTGCACAAACGGGGCCCTTCGTGTGATCGGAGTTTCCCAGAGATGACGTACAGTCTGCAGGCGACCTCTTTCATTCGTAGGGAGGGATGCCGTCATGGGTCTGGCCGTCACGGGTCTGGTCATAATAGCAGGTCTGGCCTTCGGACATAGAGGGGAAAGGGGACAAGCTTGGAAAGAATGAGGAGATTACTGGTGGTTGTTTTGCTTTTTCCAACAAGACTGAGGCAGCGCGGGACTAGGTCTGGGAAGGGAGCAATGGGCCTGCACCGCCCTTGTGTGATGAAAGTGGCCTGTCAAGGGGGCTGGCGAGGGGATGTAAAAGCTTTCATGAAAGGTCTAGCTCGTAACGCCCCAGGATAAGGGGATAAGCTGACGGCGAACCTAGGGCATCTCCGACTTGGGGAAGCAGGGGTTGGGAGGGAAACAAGGGAGAGTAGGCGGAATTCGGTCGGTAAGAGAGGGTTCAAGCCAGGCAGAGGCGAAGAGGGTGGTCAAGCCGGGCCGAACACAAAAGCAGGAGCACGAGACAGCACAGTCACTGGCCCAGGGGCCTGCCTCAGTGAGGAGACGGGGGAAAAAAATAAAAAAAGGTAAGGGGTGGTGACACGCCAGAGCGTCTTCCTGTCGAGGAACGTGTCCCCCAAGGCTCTCTTTTGGAGCAAGGTCAAGAGAGAAAGAGGTGGGGAGGGGGAAGGCAAAGTTGATAGAAAGATAGCGCGGGTTTCGGGGTTTCGAGACAAGAGGTGGACGACTGGACAAGCGTCGTCCTGGGGGCAGGCGAGAGTGGCGAGGGGTGGGAGCACTAGAGGAGAGACGCGACGGTACCAGCTGAACGGATACGACACACCCTCTCCCCCCTCGCCTCGTCTCGTCCGAGCAAGGCATGATCCCAGGTTGCCAGGATATGTCTTTATTTTCCTCTCGAGCTAATAGGCTTCTGCACCGGTTGATGCGACCACGTTCTTCACTCTTCCCTGCGTGCGGAGATAATGGTGCCCGGAGCGTTTCTTTGAAGTTGGTGCTCGCTTCATCTTTTTCCTGTCCATCAGACCTATTAAAGACCAATGTTTTTTGTTTGTTGAAAGGTGCGGCTTGGCGATCCACCGCACGAGGCACCTTGAACCATCAATGTTGACTGATCTAGCCTCTAGATATGGCAGGCAGTCAAGTTTATTGCTATAGAAGTTTGTTTCTTCATCCTCTTCTTTTTTTGCATAACTTAAAAAAGAAGGAAAAGGGAAACCCTCCCGAGTCCCCTTTTCGTTTCCCTCGAGGACCTGAATATTCCCCGATTGGGCCCAACCGCAAAAGTCCAGTTCGAGTCAGCAAAACCATGCCGATCCGCTAAGCGGAGACCGGTCAACTAAACGAATCCAGGGCGAACAGTAACAACAAATCAAATTGATGCTTCCAAGGTTGAATAACACCAATGCTGTGGATTGAAATCTTTTGGACACACAGCCCCTTGTGCGAGGCAAAATTTCATCACTTTTATTGCACCGCGCACCAGCCCGAGGGATATGACATGTCGCCCACTCACTTCATCCTTTTCCCTTTCCTCCCTCGCTCTTTCATAGCTGGACTTGGCATTGGACCGTTAAGCTAAAGGGGCGAAAACTAAGCCGAAGACACTAAATAACAAGATTGGCTTCGTGGCTCTGCCTCCCTCCCCTAGAAGGGGCACCTTCTCCTTTCGCTTATACACCAACCATCTCTCGGATCCAATCCGCAATCTCCTGTTTTTGGTTCATGTACGCACCGTGGGCGGCAACACTATTGCCGCCGGCACACACGGGTCGGCCCCGTCACACCAGGACTGCATGCGGTCTTGCCAAGCCGTCAAGCCGGACAACTCGGCTTGAGAACGGGGCCAGATCTGGACAAGATGGCAGGGGAGGGAGGATGCAAAATCCCCCACCCCAAGCTAGTTAGCCTAAATACAGACACAAAATTCGAAGAGGCATCAAAATTTCGAAATCGCTCGGGTATTTTTTTCTTTCCTTTCTCCTTTTGGGTTCAAAACCGCCCTAAGAACGTAGTGTATGTAGGCCTCTCAGGGGGCAGCACAGGGAGGGGAGGGCAGGGGATGGAACATTCAGGAATTCATTGAGATTTGAACGTACTCCACTTTTGGCGGCACCGGTACCAACGTTGTAGGGTTGGCTGGCGGTATGGCGCATGTCTCCGGTGATAGCGACAGCAATAACTGGGGTGAAGGAAAGAAGGAACAGAGATCACGTCAATCATCAACATTCACGGACAACGGCTTTGGGGGTGGGTCGGCGTGTAAAGGGTGAGAAATCATACCGTGGCTGCCGGGGCCGGTGGTGGGGTCAATCGGCGAACTCTCGGGCATAGTGCCCCGGGGCAGGTGGTGCCTCCACCTCCAATAGTATTCAGGATAACGGCGGCGCCCTATTTGATTTGTCCCAACAGGAGGAGACACATGATGCCCTTGTCAGCGCTAATTCCTCTCAATGCACTTTTACTTCTCGTTTCGTGACGAAGAACGCGTGTCCGGCTTGGACTTTACTAGGATAGCAATCCAGAGATGTGGGAAGCCATGGGGGGGCATGGCATGGGGTCATTAGTGTGCACAGGGGGTCGATAACGGCGGATGTCGGTGGGAGAAAGCTCAATCCCCCGGCTTGTACCAAGACTCGTCGGAATAAAAGAGTAAGCAAACAAACAGAAAGGACAGCCTCACCTCGGAATGTCCACACAAAACAAGCTTCGAGTCGGGGCACTTGTCGGCGTATTCGGTGATCTGCCTCGTGGCGTTTACCACGCCGGTGGTCACCGAGTCGCACACCTTGTCAAACGTGCCGACGTACAGAATGTCCTCGTGGTCGCAACTCTCCAGCCCCTGGCACACCACCTCGACCAGCGGACCTTGCGTGCCCGGGTACGGGTCCCCAGCTCCGCGCGCCAGGAATAGGTGCACGTCTTCGCACGTCGTCGGGAGCACCTGCCTCGCGGCGATGGGTCCCGGAACGGCCACGGCCTGGGCGACAGCGCCGAGCAGGGAGGTGTAGGCGAGGATGTCGAGCCTCATGTTGGCGAGATTGAGTGGAAGAAGGCCTAAGAAAAATGGGTTGGTGTTTTTGTCCTTGTTCTTTTTCTTCCTGTTCTTTTTCTTCCTTGGACGTTCTCTCGTTGATATGTTCACGCACCGCGCTGCGAGCAAGCTTTATATTCGGCGCAACACTGAGGAGAGAGAAGGACAAGATGGGAGGACTAGAGGAATGCGGAATGTCCAGGAAAACGACAACCGCTCTTCTTTGCCGCTGAACGAATTTGGTCGACTTAGCAGGGCCCCGCGTCGTCACTTCCGGCGCCGACGTTTTCTGTCGTCGTCATTGTTGTAGCAATGGTCATGAATGGTCGTAGTAAGACTTGAGTCAAAGTCTCCTCTAAGAGGTTGCGGAGCTTGGATTTTCATGGGAGGGCAGCATCGCGGAGGCGATGCGCCGCGTGGTTAAATGAAAGAAGAGGAGGCCAAGTCGGATTTCCCAGATTACCGTACATTAATGTGTGTTTCTGTTTTCCAGGAGGAAGCAACCTTTGATTTGTGAACGCTTTTGATGGTCGACACGGCGCACATCGGCCAACATTCATATTCGGTCGTTTCCTCTATCACTGTCCGTGCAGCTTCTACGCACCCTTTAGTGATGGAAAATATATGATGCGCCCGCAAACCTCGATAACGGCTGCGGTGTCAACCAGATGATGCGCCGTGTAATTCATCGATCTCCGTATGGATGAATGGCCATGAAGTTCTGTTCGGTACGTGGCAGAGCAAGTAGGTACAAGTTGCTAGAAACAGATTTAGCCGAAGTCAGGACCGGCCTCTCCAGACAAGATAGGGTTGACGAGAGATGGAAGGACAAGGCATCGATGATGAAGTGGAGCAAGGAGATCGACGATGCTAAAAGTCTTTAAGATCGACGATCCCGAGTTTGTTTGCCGAACGTAGTGGGGACACGGGAACCGATATTAGGAGGCACATACTCGGCTTTTCCGAGGGTTCCTGGCTTTGACGAGGAACCGCTCCCTGCCGCCGCGTGTCCCAAACTTTCTTTCTTTCTTTTTGTAGAATTTACAAGGGTACACTCGGCCAGAGGGTACGTTATATAAGAACAGATGAACGTGTTTTCCTCATGCCTACTTCGATCTACTTTAGCCGGAACTTCAAGCTGCAAACCCTCTCAAAGATTTCAATGTTCATGGTGGCTCGTTCCCGCATTCTCAGTGTTGAAAGTTAAAACACCATGCCGCCTGACTTCAAGCAAAAATGCATAGCCCAAGCTTGAAGATATTCATGGCAAGACTGGCATCCTTCCTAGGAAAACCGCGGGGCCGCCTCGTGCAAGTTGGGCGCATCTCTATTTCGACCAAACGGGAAAGTGCACGGCCCCGGCCTTGTTCTCGGAATGAGGGGCAATTTCACGGAGCCCGGCGCAGAAAGGTACGGCGCCCGCCAAGGGATATGGTTGGCCCGCAAGCCTAAAAGCGGAGAAGGTTGCGACTTGATTTGCCCCAGCGTCCGCTTTGGTACTTGTTGTATATGAGCATTATCCAGGGTCCTGGATCTTGGGAGAATATTTTCCCCACCCCCTCACCACTCGTCCGCTGGGGACACTTTCCAAGTGCTACCCAAGGAGGCTCAGTGCGGAAAAGCAAAGAGGGAGGATATAGAGAGGCAGCAACGTCTAGATTGGAGACTTGGTGGGGATGGGGACGGGAATGGTGGAGATGGTGGGGAAATAGACGGCCAGGACATGATATTTGGGGCGGGAAGCGTAGACGAGATGGGGGACGCGCGAGACGAAGGTGGGAAGCTGACGACATGCTTAATTTGAAGCCTTTCAGCACAACACTACAGGTGAAGTATGGACGAAGGCTTCATGACGCTACGGCCTAAGGCGGTGGGGGAAGGCAGCAAGTGTGAGAGGAAGCCAAGAGTTGAGCGGTGTGTGAATCTAGATGGGGTTGTTCGAGATATAAGGCATGGCCTTGTCGCTCATCTTAGGTTCTCTCCAGCTTCACGAGGGTCATCCATCGGAATCATCGGCCTACCTGTCCTTCCTTGATACTCCTTCGATAGAGGTAGAAAACTGTGGAAACCAACAAACACTCGAGAGAGCTGACGATATATATCCACCAAAACGATGCTGTGCAGAACCGTCCTCGCCGCCCTGTCCGCTTTTGGCGGCGCGGTCCATGCCATGCCCCAGTTCAGCAACACTGGCCCATCTGTAAGCTTAGCCCCGCCGTGAAGCCAATCGATGCGCCGCAACGCCTCAAGTGCCTAGGGGTTGGAGAAGTTCATATAAGCTAATCGCAAGCCCGTTGGGGGTTACAGACCGGTGGGTCCGGCCCATACACGGCCGACTATTCGACCACCGACGCGCTCCCTCGACACACCCTATACTACCCGAAAGACATTCCCGAAGGCCTTCGCCTACCCGTCCTCATCTGGGGCGAGGGTGGGTGCGCCGCCGACGGCCTTCAATTCCTAGGCTTCCTCAACGAGGTGGCTTCGCACGGCTTCTTCATCGTCGCCAGCGGCGCTCCCAACGGCTCGGGCCAGACGACCTCGGAGTGGATGACCGAGGCTATCGATTGGGTCACTTCGGATGAGGCCAAGGCCGCGCATCCTTACATTGAAAGCTCCCGCATCGCCGCGGCCGGCCAGAGCTGTGGCGGCGTCGAAGCCTACGACATGGTGCCCGATGAGCGCGTTGTTTCCATCGGTATCTTTAATAGCGGGCTCATGCAGCCGGCCAGGTCTGAGGCGGTGGCGCCGACTGTCAAGAAGCCCATATTTTACTTTATCGGGGGTTCTGCTGATATTGCCTATGCCAACGTGAGTTCGAACCTCTTCTCTTCATCGCCCATTTTGTGACTGTTTTCCTTCTTGGTCCTTTCTTTTTTCTCCTCCTCGCCCCTTTTACTTGATCCTGCACAGCTCCTGGGTCCTGCCACTAACACGTCTCCGTTGGGCCAGGCTGAACGGGATTGGGCGCTTCTCCCGGCCGATACCCCTAGGTGGAAGGGCAACCTTGCTGTCGGTCATAGCGGCACCTATCGCGAGTTGGATGGCGGCGCGTTTGGCGTCGCTGGCACGCGTTTCCTGCAATGGACTTTGCGAGGGGACACCGAGGCGGCCGAGTTCTTCACCGGCGGAGAGGCGGAAGCGGCCGGCTGGGCTGTCGAGTCCGGGAGTCTTGATAAGATTGATGTGGAGCCTTTGGAGTAGAGGGTGAAAAGGGCCGCAGAATGCGGGGTGGGGTTGAAGAAGCACCGTAAGGACGGCGATGCTTGAGGGTGACGTGCAGCTACGGGCAGGGAAAGAGGGTCGGGTGTGATTTTCTTGTATAAGTTTTGTCAACTCTCTGCCGGATTCTCCTAGTTATGGCAGACGAGGCCTTTCACCGGGGAGGTGCTTGTCATATTTTACATTTCAATGTCGATTCTCTATTCTTCTAAACCCCCATTCTGCTTCTCTTCTTGGATCACTTCTTCCCCCAAAACCACCACTTCCTCTATCGTCTCCTCCATCTCGCTCACTCCCCATGTAATAGAGAGCGAGTCCCGCCCAGAATTCTTGCCCATTTCGTGGATCGGCCTGGTCCCTGATTCGTCATAGATATTTGGACCAGGTATTCACGTGCGAAAAGTGATAGTCGCACCACCCGGCCCCGATTTCCGGTCTGCGATGAAGATGGGATCTTTCTTGGGCTGTCTAATGGATGAATGATGACGATGTTGCTTTTCGACCTTGTTAGGCTAGCGGGAATTTCCTCCCATCTAATTGGTTCAAAAGCCAGCGAATCAATGAATCAGCGGAGAGCGAAAGACCATTGACAACAACTTGAACTGGAATCTTTCGCCATTCATGTGACAACCCCACCTGCCTGGCGCAGGTGGACTCAGGTGTTCAGTTACGTGGGCGGGTTTGTTGCGTCGGTGGGGGAGCTTTTGCCCCTCAACTGGGTCGGAGAGCTCCTGGAGCCTAGTCAAGCCATCGTTTCGATCTCTCGGCGTCACCCACCATTTATCAGGCGGACAGAAAAGGAACGACTGAGTCCAAGTTTCTAAAGTGATTTGCCATTTCCTCCTCCCTCAGAGTTGCAGCCTTGCGTCTTGTAAGGGACAGCAGCTTCCACACCTTTCTCTTCCTGCCTACTTATCTCTCTTTCCTCGAACAAAGCAACCTTCAAGCATCCCGCTTCCATCGACGTCATTCCGCAAAGAACACACTTCCAGCGTCCACAACAATCAGCGACTATTTTTGACATCAATACGTTGGTTTGTTCGATAAAGCGAAAAGAATAAATAAACCAGAAATAAAGGCTGCAAAACAATTACACCAAGGGGCATCGAACCCCTCCCCGAACCCAAACTCTCCCAAGCTACCAAACCTTCAAGCGAGAAGCAAAAGGAACCATGAACTACATCTACTCCACCGTTAACACCCTCCGGGACCGGTACACGCCCGTCGCCACCACCTCTACATTCCGCAAGACGGGCGAGATCAACCCGAACGAGTTCGAAGAGGCTGGTGACTACCTCGTCTCCAAGTTCCCCACCTGGTCCTGGGGCGACGCCGACGACGAATCCCGCCGTGTTCCCTTCCTACCCCCGGGAAGCAGTATCTCGTCACTCGCAACGTCCCCTGCTACCGCCGCCTAGATGACGATTTTGCCGGCGATGCGGGGAGGGAGGAAGCTGTAGTTGGTGATGGCGACGACTTCAAGACCGGCGCCGCCGGCGGGCTAGTGCGGGCGGCGACGACGACGACGATGGCTGGTTGAGGACTGGCGGTCTAGCGAGCTCGCAGCCGCTCAAGGCGAGAGAGATTCGCGCGGTGGACGAGGCCGGCAACGTTGCCGAGGGCCAAGTGGTTGAAGACGACGAGATCCCGGACATGGAGGATGAGGAAGACGATGATGCCATCATTAAGGACACCGGTGCCGAGAGCAAGAGCGGGTAAGTTCATCCTATTTCCCGTTTTTTCAGCCAGCTTCAGAACTTCAATTCCTTTCTTGGAACCTACCGTTGCTAACACGATCGTCCTCTATCCAGTGGCCGGCGAACTTACAACCTCTACATAATGTACTCTCCGTACTATCGTACCCCGCGTCTCTACCTCTCTGGGTATTCTCCCAACGGCCAGCCCCTACCTCCCAAGTTTATGATGGACGATATCGTCGGCGACTACAAGGACAAGACCGTCACCCTCGAGGACTTTCCCTTCTTCGCCAACAACATCAAGATGGCTTCGGTCCACCCCTGCAAGCACGCCTCCGTCATGAAGACCCTCCTCGACCGCGCCGACGCAGCCCTGCGCATCCGCAGGAGAAGCTCCGCGCCGCCGCCGCGGATCAGGGCTCTGCTACTGGCGCTGACACCCTCGTTGAAGAGGTGAAGAAGCTTGATGTCAAGGATGCCGAGGCAGAGGCAGACAAGGCGGAGGACTGGGAAGAGGTACAACAGAACGAGATTGATGATCAGGAGGTCGCCATTCGCGTCGACCAGTACCTAGTAGTATTTCTCAAGGTATGGCATGCATTATTCTTCCTCCCTTTCTTTCTTCCCTTTTCTTACATTGGTTTCCTCCCCTCCCTCCCACCTCTTCATTTACCCCCTTCTCCCACCTGTTCCTGGATGGGAAGTTTTTCGAGAGCTAACCAGGACCACGACAGTTTATGGCGAGTGTTACGCCAGGTATCGAGCATGATTTCACGATGGGTGTTTAAGGCTTTTAGGGGACAAAGGAAACGAATATGGAAGGAAAGAAAAGAAAGAAAAGAAAGACAAAGAGGTGACGTTAACCAACTGACATGAGCGTCTGATGATTCTTCCACCTTCAAACAATTTCTTTATGTCAAGTTCAAATCGCTTCCCTCGACCTTCCTGTTACCTACCATATCTCCCAAATTAGATGTTTTCCTAGGTTTCCTCTTTTTGTTTCTTCCCAAGGCGCAAGGTGTTGCTCTCATTCCAACATTTTTGGGGCTGTTTTACTCTTGTTTTGTTCATGTTTCGAGGTCTATAGGGAATGAAGTTTATCTCCGGACTACGTGCAATCCATTCGCTTTTTGATGTTCCCTTTTTGTACCGATCTCGAATACGATGATATTTGCACGTAACGACTTGATGTAGAGGCGCGTAAAAAGGTATATGCGGGGAGATACAAGCTACAAATCATCAAGAAAGTATCAAGACGGTCTTCATTCAAAGTCGTGTATCTCTGGTATTGCTTCTAAACTGAACATGGCCTTTTGAGATAGAGTATAAGCGACTGGGTCTCGCTTCTTGCCTCATAGAGCCATTGTATAAAATTCCTTAGATCCCCACACCAAGAGCGGAGCCAGCAACCAGTGACCAGGAATGGCCACATGTAAACTAGTTGAAGAAGGACGCGCAAGCTCCGATCCGAAAAGTATTGAACATAAAGTAAAATAAAAAGGAGCCCATCCTAGAGAGAGAGAGAGCAGAGGTGTTGCGTAGCCCACAAAGAAGTGTAGTAAAGTCAGGCAAAAACAAGGCCATGCACTGAAAAGTTCAAAGGAAAACGAAGAATAAACTCCCTTTGTTATCTATATTTTACTCCTGAAGCAACCCAAACGGATGAAGGATGGAAAAGATGGGGCGAGGGGGCAGAGTTGAAAGATTCGAGGTCTCAGAACAGATTAGTTTCTGCAATCACAGTAGCATTATTGTCCACTGCCTCGTCTTCAAATTTTAGATTATCGTCCATCCATCCCGAGTAACCGTCGTCTTCATCCTGCTGAAGCCTTGGAGTGTCCCCCTCCTCAGCAGTGGGTAGCAAGGAACTTGGGTGTGACCTAGGAGAGGATTCTCCGCTGCTAATATCACCGCCATCGTCAGCAACTGCAGTCTCCGTCGCTAGCGAAGAGGGCCCGCTATGTTCTTGCGTTCGTTCCGTCTTCTGCTCTACAGCTGGAGCCGATTTTCCCTGCTTCGTCGCCGTTTCGAGAGGAGGAAATACCTCGCCGGCAGGGGTCCCCGGCTCCGAGTCCGACGGGGCCGCAACGACTAACACGCTCTCTGAAACAGGCTGGTGCTGATCTTCTAAGCTCCCGTTCCTGCCTCTCCTTTTTGGCAGCGGTGGCACTGGAACGGGTCGCTTTGGAGGCGTGGTTTCCCGCTGTGGATTAGGCGACTTTTCTCGTTCCATCTGGGCCCTTTGTTCCCTGTCCGGGTTAGGGCTGTGCAGACTGCTTCCAGGCCACCACCGTTCAGGTAATAGTGGGGAGGCAACGTCTTCTTCCGTTGCAAGGGAATGGTAGTGGGCTTTTGGGACCGATCGGGTGGCGGGAGTGGTATTCCGATGGGCGGTAGGGGCGCCCTCTACCCATAGGCTGGCTCAGATCGACGTGCGAAGAGTGGCCGTCGCCATGGTTAGTGTGGTGGTTCTGTTTCTGCTGCTCGTTTTTGGCGTCCCTGTGGCGCTGCAACGCGTTGAGGCCCCATTGCCTTGCCTGGAGAGCTGCGTTGCTGACGGCGGCGAGCGTGTTGGTCTTGACAGTGGAGCCATTCGTGTGGGTGCTTGCCGAGGACGATGTTGCACTTCCAAGCGTTGCGCCTGTGTCCTCTCGGCGGAAGAATCCTCGTGAGATGGAGCCTGACCGGGCCGGCGTAATCTTGGGCTTTTCTTGGCTAAGAGAGTGACCACTGGCGAAGGACTCAGTCGACGAGGCCGTCCCCGGCGGTTTCCCAGTGGTTCCTTTGGTGTAGGAGTGGTATCGTCAAGGTGATACTGCTGGTGTGCGTTTGGGTTGGGGCCTACATCTTGGGGGATGATGATGTTGTTGCTGCTCCCTCTCCTTGCCGACATCTCCTCTCTCAGGGTCGTCGTGGATCGAGGTTCCGGAATGCGCCTTGGCAACAGGAGGTGGTGGTTTGATAGGGGAAGCTAGCGGTGACTCTGGTTTAGGGGAACTGGCGATAGCGGATAAAGTTTGGATGGCGGAGGAACTCGGCATCTCTCTAATGCCGACAGCATGCTCCGTCTTGGTCACTTCAGATGGAGCCGCCACATCGACTGGAGCTCTCGACGGGGCTGGCCACGCGTGCGCCACTGCCGGAGAGTGTTGTGGAGATTCGAAGCTCGTGGTAGAGGCTCTTGGGCTCCCGGCTCCGGACATGATGTTGAGCTTGCGACTAAAAAGACTCGCAGTGGGGCTCTTGGCTGATAGGAGGGAATCGGAATCTTCCTTCTCTATCATCGTCGGATGTTTTGGGTCGGACATGTCGAGCGCGTACTGAACATTATGACCATGCTCATCGCTGATGGTTGGCGCATCAATCACATGCTCCGAAGGTGGCGAGCGGGACTCATTATCGGTGGCCCAGATGCCGCCACGCCATTTTTGTCTTCCGTGTCGAAAAAGGGGTGTCGTCCCAGAAGGGGAGCACGATAGTCTCCGCCACCACCTCCTTGATGCGGTTCTCAATTTGGCGAAGAATCATAGTGTACGTAATCTGGCGGGAGCTGACGACAGGCTCGACGTGCATCTCCATCTTGGGCATGGTCTGGAAGGAGAACCAGAAACGGTTGCTCGGCGGCGCCTTGATTTTGAAAAGAGCTCGGCCCTCAATCTTGCGAAGGACGACGGCAAGAGTGAGATCGACCTCGCGCGCTTTGAAGCGGGTTCCTAGATCAATGCGTGCTGTTGTGGTAACCTCGATTCGGAAGTTACCGGTGTATTTAATGTCCGCTTCTACTACGCATTCACCGTCCACGTTGAGCTCTCTGAGCTTCGGGTTTGAAATGAAAGGAGCCGAGTTACCCGTGTGGATATCACGGATAACGATGTGAGATAGAAAGGAAGGACGTTTTACTCGAGAGATCTTCTTGGTAAGTTTCTCGCGAATGATATTCTCCAACTCGCAGGTTTTATACAAAGAGAGGAAGATCCTCCCGATAAAGGCATTGAGCCACCTAGTTTGCATGTGGTCCTCTGTCGAATGAAGTCGTTGAACAAGAGAGATGACGTCGCCCACTTCGTACTGGAGTGGGACAGGCGCCTCGGCGCTATCAGGCCCGAGTGATTGTTCTTTATTTCGGAGAAGTGCTAAGTAAAAGTCTTCCTTTGCGGAGCAGTTTTCGGAAAATAGATAAAATGGTTTGGAAGATAAGGCATCGGTGGCGGAAAGGTCGGGAATATCGCTTTTCTTCGAGAGACATATCGCGTTTCGTTTTATGTAAAGCTCCCCTTCCGGGGTAACGTCGCCACCGGAATATATACTGATGTCGTAGTGCGTGAGGGATATGACATGGCGAACTTCGAGCTGCTCCTCATCGTCAAAGAGCATGAGGTGTCCGTGTCTATGAGAGGATCGTTTTAGCATTACGCTCAGGACTCACCGCCAAAGAAGGCAGAATGGGAAGAATCCAAGAATCTCGGATAACTAGGCGGTCGATAATCGCGACGGCTCACATACCTGAGAGCAACGTAAAACACGTTCCCCGCCCTCTTGGGTCTCTGACTCCCTGCGCCACCGGCATCTAATGGGCTTGCCGTCTGTTTCCTGTCGAATATGCTCTTGTACATAGTCTGGTAGACGCTCTGGCTCGGAGCAGCGACCGTGGCCGAGCCCACAGGCGTCTGTCTCTCGATTGGTTTTGCATTTATCCCCATGGGCGTGTACTCACGGCACACAGCAAAGTATCCAGCAGCCACATCCGGCTCGGTCGTCAGGCGGGACTTGGCGCCCTCCTTCTTGGCGTCCTGGGCTTCTTTAAGGGCCGCGACGTCGTCCCCGGCTGCACAATGCCGTCGGCGCCATTCTCTCGACTCGCAACGTCGGGACTTGGTCGGTGTGGTAAATCCAAGTAGGCGTAGAGGAGCACGGCGGTCACGGCGAGCGGGAGGAAGGTCAATCCGCCGAGGAGGTAGGCAAACAGGAAGGACGTCCAACCAGCCATGGCTCAAACCGCCACGAGGGCTTCTTCCAGACAAGGCGGGGCGGTTTCTGTCAGACAGGCAGCGACAAGCAGAGTCGACATCGGTGGGGAGGCAGAAAGGAAGGTGGGGGAGGGCGGTCTATTTTTATTGTCGTGAAACCAGCGGGTTCAAAGCTTCGATGCTGGTCGGCTGCGGGGTGGCATGCCTGGACCTGGCGAGATCAAGACGGAGGGCCTAGGCGGAAAGGAAGAGGAAAGAAAATGCAGGTTTAGATAGGGGTGTTTGGAGGTGGAGATTACCCTAAATTCCTCGTCCCGGTCAGTGAGTATTGAAGTCCGTGGGAGAATTCACGACGCCAAGCGAGAAAAGACGGCCAGGATCGTGTTCGATCCAAGTTGTTTCCCCATTAATATCAATGTGGCTACGTCAATGCTGGTGGAACGGCTAGCTGTTGCTGGAAGACGAGGTAACTTGTACCCCATAGTGTGGAGGCTAGTCTCCGCTTGGACAGGAATGGGAATTAAGCAGACCTCAATATTCATTCCAGAACTGTAAATTGATACTGTACACCCTAGTAACCAATACCAGTGACCATCAACCTCCCGTGCCCCGTGCTTGCCGCCCTGTATTACTTTCTGAGGTGCCAGCCCCCGCCAAGAAAACTTTAGTCAGCGGCGTGAGAACCGCCGCCCATCACCCAAACGCAGCCAATGTTGAGGTGGAGCATCACCACATGTGTCCAGAACTTCGCGCCTCAATGTTTGTTTGCTCACCACCGCCGGATACAATCAATCACCGAGGGGATAGAGTGCTCATTATCATTTTCAGCTCGGGCTTCGGTGGGGAGTACCTCTTGCATTGGCGCATCGGTCTCGCCCCCCAACCTTGCCATCCCTCCACATCGTTCGTATCATATTGTTCGTTGCGGACCCGGTCCAAGCCGGACTAGCCGAGAACGCTCCGGCCCGCGATAATCTCGGAATCGGTTGTGATACTCTCCACGTCCGGCGACGCATCCGGTAGCGCCAAACCTCATTTTCGTCTTTTTTTCTTGTTCTTTTTCTTTTTCTTCTTGAAATTCCTTCTTTTCCCCTACCTTTCCATTTGGGATAGAAAAAGAATATTATAAACAACAATAGGTTAATGCAGGGTTTGATAGGTGATTAAGTCAATTAGATTAAAGCGAGCCAAAGCTCAAAGATAAACAAGATAGAGAGATTATTCCCAGTTGTCCATAGGATTCTACATCTCCCTTTCCCTGAGGTGCTGCGGTTACCTCCTTCCCGACACTGCTTCGCGCTTGATTCCTCCCAAGCCCATTATTACCCTGTCGACTCCAATTCGAGATGAAAAGATGATGAAAGAAATCCGGCTCCCCAAGCCAATACTCGCCCATACTCCATTTTTTGCCCGATCCCGGTGTGGTTCCCATTTATGTCCCGCAGATTCCCATTATGTTTTGTATCCAATTCGCCATCCTTGATCATCACAACCGTCAGCATTAAGCATCTGCGTACATTCCGTCTCTTTCTTGAAGTATACCGGTGCATCCGTTATCCTCTTGTCACCGCAACATGCTGGAGCTGCTGCGAATGACGACGTCCCTTGAACGCCTCGAGCCTCCGACGGCCCAATGTCTTGGACTGTCTTCGCAGCCTGATGATCTCAGGCTCCGCCTTCTCCACAATCTCCACCACGATTTCCTTCTCCTTCTCCTTTCCCTTCCTTTTTCCTCGGGATCTTGGTCTTCGACGTCGATCTGCGCGAGGATCTGGCCGTTGGAGACCACTTCCACGCAGAGAGCCTCTCCCTTGGGGACGGCAGCGTTGCCGGGCAGGTGCCACACCATTGTGTTGCCCACCATCTCCTCTGTTGCCGGTTCGATGACGGTTTTCGCGTCCTTCCTTTGGATTCGGAACTCGACCCGGTTCCGGATCAACGGGATGCCCGTAGGGCTGCCCTGCGCCATCTCGACCCGCAAGATGCCGCCAGCGCCGCGCTTGAGGTTCACGTCGACCTTGTTCAACCGCTCCCTCCACGTGACGAAAAGGATCTCGGTCGGGGCCACAATAGCCTCCATCTCGGCGCGCACCTTGGGCGCGAGCTCGCAGCGCGACAGCACAATAGTGCCCTGGACGCGTACGAGTTGGTGCTTCGGCTCGGCTCGGGCTCGGTCTTCCAGGTCCGCGAGCCTTCGAGAGGCCTAGGTCAAAGCCGATGACGGGCCGGGCGGTAGAGTACACGAGCTCTGGCTCGCTGTGTCGCCGAGGCTGGAGTGGAGACGAAGCGCGAGGGAAAGCGACCCTACAGGGCTCTCGGCGGGGACGTTGGGGAGCATGCTTGTGTTAAAATCCCAGTCTCTCTTTCTCGTCCTTGTATTTTATTCTCAGTGTATTTGGTCAAGGGCAAACCAAAACTACCCACAGGCCGCGAATCACTCTCGAGAAGATAGGGTATCGTGATTATCGTATGCAAGAGAAGGAACGCGCTTTCGCCAAGCTTGAGGGATGGCTGCATGCAGGTATCTTGAACATGGATTGGTGTCAAGTAGCTGGAAAGAGCGTGATTCAGAATTCAAGGACCAGGTCGTGTCGGGGATCTTGGAATGGGCCATAGAGGTATGGAGAGATGGGATTGCCAGTTGGATCTAGTCGAGCTCGTCAAGTTGGGGCATGGGTCCCCTTAATAATAATCCGTTTTCCTGCTCGTTTCCCAAGATGGAATCCCAGGCGTCTAATTCATGAAGTCCCCTCGTGGTCTTGACTCTTGACTCGGGATGGAAGCACTTACACACCCCCTCCTCAACCCCCTCCCCCACAGTCTTTGCTGTCAGTTATGGGAAGGATGAATCAGAGACGCAGCTTGGCCACCCGTTCATCTTGGATGCATGGGTCTAGATGTATCGCCTGGAAGTATATTTCATCAAGTGGTTATTATATACCAACCCGAATGGCACGCCCCCTGTTCCCCATACCCCCATCTCACATCCTTGTACCCCCTCCCCAACTCAGGGTGACGAACGAAGTGGGTGTCTAAAACAACCGACTTCGCCTTGCCCCAAACTTCGTCAGTCACCAATAAAATCAAGGACTATTCATGGGCATCGCCGATCTGGGATTCTAGTTTCCTCTAATACTTTCTGTTTCTTTTCTGGCTGGTGTCTGTTTTTATTCTCCTTTTATCGTTACTTCCTCGACCTATCCACCCTTTCTTTTTCCCTATGCCTACTTACATGATTTCTCACAAAGTAACGTGTCTCCCATCGGGCTATTCCCCACGTCGCTGTTTTGACTCGTGCAGCACACACCACAAGCCAAGGCGCTCAATAATACACTGAGAGCCTCCTTTGAACCTTTGTTTTTCTTTTTTTCTTCTCTAATTCGGGCCCCTTATAGAAAGCCAAAAGAGAGAAGAGAAAAGAAAAGAAAAAAGAGAAAAAAAAAGAGAAAAAACAGGAAAAAAAGAAAAAAGAGAGAGAGAGAGAGAACAGAAAAGAACAAGTAGACATCATGAAAAAGAAGAAAAAGAAAAAGAAAGCGATGTTTCTGGAGCCCCCTTTGTGGCAAAGACCGGGGAACGAAGCCGGCGATTTAGTTCCCGCCGGTCCCATCTTGCCGTGTTTCGGTAGGCTTCAAAAACGAACGCCAACATACAACATAAAGAGAACTTACCGGCACGACATCAAGGCAGAGAAGACTCAAGAAGTAAAGGGACCGTTAGAAGGGGGAATAAAGGAAACATACGCAGGAAACATACGCGAATGAAAGAGTATAACGCTACTTACCGGAAGGAGTTGAAGAGGGAAGAAAGGAAGAAAAAGAAATGAAAACAGGGAAACCCGAAAGGATCAGAGACGGCAAGCTATAAAATTGAAAATGGTGTACACTAACAAGGCGTCAGCCCCGAGCCCAAGTCCCCTAGGTTAAAATCAAGAGGTAGAAAAGCAAACCCCAGAAAAAGAAACAAGGGCAAGCAGGCCTGTTCCTGTCCCGTGGTGCCCCCTATCACGACACGACAGCTTGATGTGCCGGGGATGCCGCTCCGGGAGAGCCGAGTAAAGCCACAGGCGCTCTTGAAATACCCCAGCTTTCGTTTTGGGGCGATCGCATGGAAAAGCAACGACAAGGGGAATAGGGCTCGATCTCGGCGTACTACTTTTGTGGTGGAGTATGAGGGGAGCGAAGTGGGATGGGGAAAGGGGGAGGAAGCTGACGGCCCCTGCAGCCACAAACGGGATGGAGTCAAGGACGTGTCACATTTTTGTGCATCCTAACTTCATGAAGTGCGGTGCAATGTTCTTGTCTTGCAAATGGAGCTCTGGGGAGGATCTGGTGGAAGTAGTGAGAAAGGAAAAGAAAACAAGACTTTTCGTACCTTTCCGCTCTAGTTAGCTCACTTCTCCACACTAGGAGACATGGATGAGACTCTCCACCAAATTCTAAACCGGGTAATAGCGTTATCTCCAAACCTGGGGAACGGCGAGCTACGAAGTAGGTGGTGGAAACGGCTGCTCGTCTCCGCTAGGAAGGGGTTTGACAAGAAGAAGGGGGCATCCATCCATGTATCTGGTGTCTACCATGTTCGTGTCAGTACGCGTACTCAGTCTTGGTACCTTTCGAGTCATCAGCAGGGAAAACATCAAGGCAAAGTGGAGATTGAAATTACCCACCTCTCCTCTCACTTCCCACAAGAACAGTGCTGGCGACCCCGTCCCGTGGTGCAACTGCAATCATTGACGACTGGGGGCGGGGGATCTCCAATTATTGAGTCGCCGTGGATTCTTCGGCCTGCAGACGGCTTCTTTGCATTGGGTTCCGCGGCACCGTTCAAGGCTGCAGCCCAAAAGCGACCAGCTCAAAAGTAACGAGAACACCATCAAGCTGGACCGGACCGCTCGGTGCTCGATGCTGCATCCCTCTCATACAAGCATGTGGCAGCTGGGCTCCCAAGCCAATTTTTCAGACGAGGGGAACTAAAATGGTAGTACAATAGTGTATATCAGAAATGAGGGCTCCTGATAATCGCGTACTTCCTACCTGCATAGCACCAGACTTCAGACGTAGTCCGTCTGCTGGCGCGGACAGGGGTCCCCGAGAGAGCCCGAGACATAGCGGGGAGTGTCTCGCAATGCTTGGGGCCGACGTGTACGCATCGTGGGTACTGGTATGAGGCGAAGGATCACCAAACATGGAGTGTTCTGCATCAAAGGTATGAGTTGACGATCGGAATTGTGACCGATCCATCTGCGATGATAGGGCTGCGCTGGGCGTCTGCGCAGGAGCAATACTCATGTGGCCGGTGGCTTCGCACACTGCCACATCAGTCTTGCCCTCGGGGCATACACCCATGTAAATGTAACGTTCGATCTCCTCGGGCCCCAAATTCCGTTGCGTCCAAAGCCCCCGGCAAAGGAGGCCGAGAGGGCGGCACAAGACCAGAGCTGATGGCGGCGGGCAACCGGCCTCAGGTACTCATCTTCTTGCGAGCAATTTCCTCCAGATCAGGTATTGCTACTCGCTATGTTGGGCGGTGGTACGAATCGTGGATGTATGCCCAGTGCTGGCGCGCCGCTGGCGTTGACGCTTACCACAAAGAAGAAACACAACCACGCGTTGCATGAGGGGTGGGCAGCATTCCATGGGTTGATGCCCATGTAAACTCAACCAGCCATGGTTAGTGTAAATTCTTTCACGGTTGCAAGACTGAAATCCGCAAAGGAATACGTGAGCCGCGCAAGGCACAGGATTCCTGATACAAACTTGTCGCTGACCCAGCTAACCATGCTTCGTGAAGCCCGCTTGCAACTTCCCCAGCCTCGCTTGTCATCCACAGAGATCACCCATCTTCACACCATGGGGCTCATGATTGATCAGTGCTCAGCGGGATCGCTTCCTAGCTTCAATCTTCATGGAATTGCTTCTTCCCTAGAAGTGCGGGAGACCAGGGTATCGAGACAGCAGGGGTCATGGAGAGACATGGCTGTCTGCTCGTTGCTTTTGGAAATCGACTGAGATGGAACTCGTGATGGCACATTATTGGACCACTTTCCGCGCAACGGACAATCCCAATTCCTGTGCCAGAGATGGCGATGACGACTGGAAAACAGAAGAAAAAAGGAGAAAAGAAGAAGAAGAAGAAAAAGGGGAAAGGAAAAGAAGAAAAAGAAGAAGAAAAAAAAAAAAAAAAAGAGAGAAAAGAGTCACTAGGCGTACGAGGACCAAGGTAGCCGGCAGTGTAATAACAATTTCCCAAGGTTCTTTCCGCACACCCCTCCCCGTCTCCTTCTTCCTTATGCCCAGTCTGTGGAGTGCACATCTACATGCATCCATTGCCTTCAAGGTTGCGCTCTCCTAGTGGGAGATGATAAAGACAAGGAGATATCCGGAGATAGATTGAAACATCCATGGATCCGTTACGTTGGCGGGACCAAAGTACTTGTTCTCCAACTGTCTAGCATTGTGCAGTGCTATGCTCTTCCGCTGCCCACTCAGTGAATGCGCTTATACAAGAGTCGTTGAGCTGTGAGTTTTTGTTTCCATTCATCCATCCATGGATCAATCTTGCATCTATATTAGAGAGCCTGCTAGAACCAGCTTACCCTTTTCGTTTGAAAGAAACAAGAACCTAGTAATAAATCGGCTCGTATAATTTCACCGTACCTTCACTTCATCCTCGATGTTATCGAATTGTAAGTAGGGGAGAAAGCTCATCAATTTTGGATATACTCCGGCCTCAGCATCGCTCAGAAGCCGGCGCATGGCAGAGGGAAAACTACAATGCATAAACATACAAAGTTGGAAAGCGTAGAACTAGCCTGCCCCCATGAAACAGCTTTTTTATGTTTCATACCTTCGCTACAAACGCGTCGATGGTCTCTGCACTATTATATCAATGACGTTTGTCGTTCCAGTCACTCAACGTCACCTGTGAGACTTGACGAGATAGCCTTTTCTTATATTCACAAAGCGCAAAAGAGAATTTCTCTCAGCTTGTTAGAATCTTGAAGTCTTGGGTGGTTCCGCATGTAACGTATCCAAAAGTTACGAGAGTCAGCATGCCGCCTCACTTGATATGCCGTACTTTGAGCCTTTGATTCAGACTCTTAGCCCACTTCAAATGTGAAAGGAGAGACGGTGCATCAAGCATCCACAATGAATCGTTCGCTACCCCGAGCGAAAATCTCCAACCCCCACAGGGTTCGGTTTCCTTAGTGCCCTTATCTACTTGATATCTACATTTAAGTCAAAGGGTTTCGCGTTCCCCGAACAATTTGACCAGGCTGAGGTTTGGCTAGTACATTGATGCATGGTTCAGCGACGTGACGTGGGAATCCTCCAT